CCCTGAACTGTACATTCCACAGCTAATCCTTTAACTGTAGCTTCTAGAGCTAACCCATGAACTGTACTTTCCACAGCTAAAGCTTTAACTGTAGCTTCTAGAGCTAACCCATGAACTGTACATTCCACAGCTAATCCTTTAACTGTAGCTTTTAGAGCTGTACATTCCACAGCTAATCCTTTAACTGTAGCTTCTAGAGCTAACCTCTGAACTGTACATTCCACAGCTAATCCTTTAACTGTAGCTTCTAGAGCTAACCCTTGAACTGTACATTCCACAGCTAATCCTTTAACTGTAGCTTTTAGAGCTGTACATTCCACAGCTAATCCTTTAACTGTAGCTTCTAGAGCTAACCCCTGAACTGTACATTCCACAGCTAATCCTTTAACTGTAGCTTCTAGAGCTAACCCCTGAACTGTACATTCCACAGCTAATCCTTTAACTGTAGCTTCTAGAGCTAACCCATGAACTGTACCTTCCACAGCTAAAGCTTTAACTGTAGCTTCTAGAGCTAACCCATGAACTGTACATTCCACAGCTAATCCTTTAACTGTAGCTTCTAGAGCTAACCCTTGAACTGTACATTCCACAGCTAATCCTTTAACTGTAGCTTTTAGAGCTGTACATTCAACAGCTAATCCTTTAATTGTAGCTTCTAGAGCTAACCTCTGAACTGTACATTCCACAGCTAATCCTTTAACTGTAGTTATTAGAGCTAACCCCTGAACTGTACATTCCACAGCTAATCCTTTAACTGTAGCTTCTAGAGCTGAACATTCCACTGCTAATCCTTTAACTGTAGCTTCTAGAGCTAACCTTTGAACTGTACATTCCACAGCTGATCCTTTAACTGTAGCTTCTAGAGCTAACCCATGAACTGTACATTCCACAGCTAATCCTTTAACTGTAGCTTCTAGAGCTAACCCCTTAACTGTACATTCCACAGCTAATCCTTTAACTGTAGCTTCTAGAGCTAACCCATGAACTGTACATTCCACAGCTAATCCTTTAACTGTAGCTTCTAGAGCTGTACATTCCACAGCTAATCCTTTAACTGTAGCTTCTGGAGCTAACCCATGAACTTTACATTCCATAGCTAATCCTTTAACTGTAGCTTCTAGAGCTAACCCCTTAACTGTACATTCCACAGCTAATCCTTTAACTGTACATTCCACAGCTAATCCTTTAACTGTAGCTATTAGAGCTAACCCCTGAACTGTACATTCCACTGCTAATCCTTTAACTGTAGCTTCTAGAGCTAACCCCTTAACTGTACATTCCACAGCTAATCCTTTAACTGTAGTTATTAGAGCTAACCCCTGAACTGTACATTCCACAGCTAATCCTTTAACTGTAGCTTCTAGAGCTGAACATTCCACTGCTAATCCTTTAACTGTAGCTTCTAGAGCTAACCCATGAACTGTACATTCCACAGCTAATCCTTTAACTGTAGCTTCTAGAGCTGAACATTCCACTGCTAATCCTTTAACTGTAGCTTCTAGAGCTAACCCATGAACTGTACATTCCACAGCTAATCCTTTAACTGTAGCTTCTAGAGCTAACCTCTGAACTGTACATTCCACAGCTGATCCTTTAACTGTAGCTTCTAGAGCTAACCCATGAACTGTACATTCCACAGCTAATGCTTTAACTGTAGCTTCTAGAGGTTGTCCCTGAGCCGTACATTCCACAGCTAATCCTTTAACTGTAGCTTCTAGAGCTAACCTCTGAACTGTACATTCCACAGCTGATCCTTTAACTGTAGCTTCTAGAGCTAACCTCTGAACTGTACATTCCACAGCTAATCCTTTAACTGTACATTCCACAGCTAATCCTTTAACTGTAGTTATTAGAGCTAACCCCTGAACTGTACATTCCAGAGCTAATCCTTTAACTGTAGTTATTAGAGCTAACCCCTTACTGTACATTCCACAGCTAATGCTTTTACTGTAGCTTCTAGAGGTGGCCCCTGAGCCGTACATTCCACAGCTAATCCTTTAACTGTAGCTTCTAGAGTTAACCTCTGAACTGTACATTCCACAGCTAATCCTTTAACTGTAGCTTCTAGAGCTAACCCCTGAACTGTACATTTCACAGCTAAACCTTTAACTGTAGCTTCTAGAGCTAGCCCCTGAACTGTACATTCCACAGCTAATCCTTTAACTGTAGGTTTCAGAGCTAACCCTTGAACTGTACATTCCACAGCTAATCCTTTAACTGTAGCTTCTAGAGCTCACCCATGCACTGTACATTCCACAGCTAATCCGTTAACTGTAGCTTCTAGAGCTAACCCCTGAACTGTTCATTCCACAGCTAATCCTTTAACTGTAGCTTCTAGAGCTAACCTCTAAACTGTACATTCCACAGCTGATCCTTTAACTGTAGCTTCTAGAGCTAACCCATGAACTGTACATTCCACAGCTAATCCTTTAACTGAAGCTTCTAGAGCTAACCCATGAACTGTACATTCCATAGCTAATGCTTTAACTGTAGCTTCTAGAGGTTGTCCCTGAGCCGTACATTCCACAGCTAATCCTTTAACTGTAGCTTCTAGAGCTAACCTCTGAACTGTACATTCCATAGCTAATCCTTTAACTGTAGCTTCTAGAGCTAACCTCTGAACTGTACATTCCACAGCTAATCCTTTAACTGTACATTCAACAGCTAATCCTTTAACTGTAGTTATTAGAGCTAACCCCTGAACTGTACATTCCACAGCTAATCCTTTAACTGTAGGTTTCAGAGCTAACCCTTGAACTGTACATTCCACAGCTAATCCTTTAACTGTAGCTTCTAGAGCTCACCCATGCACTGTACATTCCACAGCTAATCCGTTAACTGTAGCTTCTAGAGCTAACCCCTGAACTGTTCATTCCACAGCTAATCCTTTAACTGTAGCTTCTAGAGCTAACCCCTGAACTGTACATTCCACAGCTAATCCTTTAACTGTAGCTTCTAGAGCTTACCCCTGAACTGTACATTCAACAGGTAAACCTGTAACTGTAAGTTTATAGCTAGACCTGTCAGTGTAGGTTCTAGAGCTAAAACCTGTCACTGTAGCTTCCATAGCTAAAACATGTAACTGTATGTTCTTGTGCTTACAATGTGACTGTAACACGTTGTGCTTTCCCTTAGACTGTAACATATTGTGCTTACCCTGTGACTAAGATCTGGTTCTTACCTTGTGACAGTAACTTTTAGAGCTTACCTCGTAAGTGTAATTTCTTGAGCTAAACATGTATCCATAGCTACTAGAGCCAAACCTGTAGCTATATGTTCTCGTGCTTACCATGTGATTGTAACGTCTAGTTCTAACCCTGAAGGCCCTCTGATACATTCAATGTAACCGTCTGGTTTTACTGTTGTAATTGGGGATATCATAATTTCGACTAGTGATGGCTCTGACAGAAGCATCCGACTGTGATGTCATCCTTGAAAGGAAGTTCCTGACTTGGAGGAGGCCACAGAAAGAAACCTCTGACATACTTACGAGGGGATGCTGAAACGTTTTGAGCCCAACTGTGAAGGATGTATGGCCCACCCTTTACAGTTTACATGTATATACTTTCCTTATATATACTCACACGCAACAGAAACGAAAGTAGTTTTAAGCAAATAGGTAACAAACACGGAACCATAAATTGATATGGGTTTTAGCATGTAGTGAAGCCTGATGGTGTTATCAATATTTTTGGTTGATTTTGGAAGCCCCGAGTTAAAACGCAACATAAAGAAACGAATCGCCAAAACGCACCATTGCAATGAATATGTGGGTATCATGCACCCATTTCTCGCGAAATAGAAAATGCACGAACTGTCACGAACTGTAGTGGGCATAAAAATGTGGCCGATTCTTGGACCTTCCACTCCTTGGTCAACAATGCCACGCCTAACTCACATTCAGAGAAACCAGGCTATCGGACGTTTGGAAGCTGGAGAGTCTGTCCAAGATGTTGCCCGTCATTTCAACGTTAACATAACCACAATTTACCGTCTCCTGCATCGATACAATGCTACACAGGCCACAGGTGACCTTCCTCGGAGCGGTCGTCCTAGGGTCACCACACCTCGACAAGATCGGCAGATTACCCGTCAACACTAGCGACATCCGTTCCTAACTGCAAGTGAAAGTGCTCGACAGACCATAGCAACACATAATCGACACATTAGCCGGGACACTGTGATCTGACGTCTCCGTTCCAACAACCTCAGATGTCGCCGACCAGCACGTCGTCCTGTGCTCCAACCACGGCATCGACAAGCACGACTTCAGTGGGCACAGGGTCATCACAATTGGCGTCATCGTGAGTGGAGGCGTGTCATCTTCTCTGATGAAAGTCGCTTTTGTGTCTCTCATGCAGACGGAAGTGTCAGAATTTGGCGGCGCGGAGGTGATCGTTGCGCTGACAGATACGTTGTGGAAAGGGATCCATGGGGTGGACCTAGCGTCATGATATTGGCAGGGATTGGACTTAATGCGTGACTTGGACCCATGTGCCATCTGAATGTTGGTCAAGGTCGGGGACACGGCGTCACTGCTCAGCGGTATATCGACCAAGTGAACAGACCCCACGTTGTTCCATTTTTTGCACAACAAGGTGCGCCCAGTCCCTACAACTGCCGATGAACTACGCACAGCTGCTCTGGATGTGTGCAGAAACCGTCTGATCCACTCAATGTACAGGAGATGTGTGACAGTGATCAATGCTAATGGTGGTCACACCAGGTATTGACTGACATTTTTCGGTATTGACCCGAAACTGTGTAAGCCCTCAACAAGTGAAAAAAAACACTTACGCATCTGCCTTTTAATCCATTAAACTGTCTTCTGTCAATTTTTTTGACAATCTTGCCCTATTAGTATTTCTTGTCTTTATTGTTGAAAATAAATAACATGTATACTGCATACTCGACTTGCGTTTCTTTTGCGTGTGAGTATATATTGTAGGTATTGGTATTAACCGACAATTCAATACCATAGGAAGACCTGCCATACTTACCGCTGGGATCTTGCTGAAACTGTCCTTCATTGTCACCCATATTTGGGTCGCCAGCTCTGAAAAGAGAGACATGTGAAGTGAAGGAAGAAGTAACACACATCTTAGTGTGTTATACATTCCAACGCTTGAGCTTTAGACCCTTGTGTTTACCCTGTAGCTATAACGTCTAAAGCTTAACTTGTACAGGTAACCATGTAACCTTTACGTGTACAGGTAACCATGTAGCCTTTACTTGTAGAGGTAACATGTAACCTTTACTTGTACAGGTAACCATGTAACCTTCACTTGTACAGGTAACCATGTAACCTTTACTTGTACAGGTAACCATGTAACCTTTACTTGTACAGGTAACCATGTAACCGTCACTTGTACAGGTAACCATGTAACCTTTACTTGTACAGGTAACCATGTAACCTTCACTTGTACAGGTAACCATGTAACCTTCACTTGTACAGGTAACCATGTAGCCTTTACTTGTACAGGTAACCATGTAACCTTCACTTGTACAGGTAACCATGTAGCCTTTACTTGTACAGGTAACCATGTAACCTTCACTTGTACAGGTAACCATGTAACCTTCACTTGTACAGGTAACCATGTAATCTTTAATTGTAGACGTCATCCTGTAACCTTTACTTTTTGAGGTAACCATGTGACCTTTACTTGTGCAAGTAACCCTGTGACCTTTACTTGCAGATGTATCCCTCTAAACTTTACTTGTATAGGTAACCATGTAAGCTGTACCTGTAGACGTAACTCTGTAACCTTGTTACCTTTACTTGTGGACGTAACGCTGTAACCTTTACTTGAACAGGTAACCATGTAATCTTTAATTGTAGACATCATCCCGTAACCTTTACTTGTAGAGTTAACCATGTAACCTTTAGTTGCAGAGGTAACCCTGTAACACTTGCTTTTAGAGGTAACCCTGTAACCTTTACTTGTACAGGTAACATGTACCGTTTACTGGTAGAGGTAACCATGTAACGTTTACTGGTAGAGGTACATGTAACCCTGTAACCTTTACTTGTACAGGTAACATGTAACGTTTACTGGTAGAGGTAACCATGTAACCTTTACTTGTAGAGGTAACATGTAACCTTTACTTGTACAGGTAACTCTAGAATATTAACTTGTAGATGTATGCACTATTCTTCTCACAGTTCTTTAAATGTTCTACCGTCAACAGTTACCCGCTGTAACAGTGTATCAGTCGTGGAAGGAAGAGCCCATACCTGTATACTTCACCTCCTGAAAAAGATAATAAATATCCCAGTAAATGAACACGTTCAAAGCAAATCATGAATTTAAAAGTATTTAGAATTTGCGGTAATTGTAGTAAAACAACTGACAATAAATGCCTGGCAAGATAGATGCCCCTAATATCAGCACAATTCGGAATTCTGTTATCTCAAACATTACTAAGACAATACCTTTCTTGATTCTGTTTTTGTAAGCAACGACGAAGACGAGTACAGCAATGACGACGATGAGGACAGAACAGACAGCAGCAACGTAGACGATGGAAGCGACGCCAACTCCAGTAACCTCACGCGCTGGAACATTCAAAATATAACAAGAAAATTGTTCGTGATTCTAATGTTTCCGATGTATATATGGGATAATATGACATTTTAATTTGAATATGTGGTGAAATACAGTACAAGTGTGGAAAAAAGAGTTATTGGAACAGTGTATTTTTTGTCGAATTATGTATTACGTAAACAATGGGTTACTGTCTTCAATGCAGAACTGTTTTTATTTAAGTTTGAAATGACAGAACTGTTTTTGACATTTGAAGAACCTGAAAGTTCCTGATCAATAGTTCGTGTTGGAATGACTTATTATTTTGAATCTCTGTGGGTTTAGAGAAAGTTGGAATGAATGAAAAAGAAATTGGTCATTACAGAAGTTATCCAAATAAATGTTACAGATTCTGTCTATCACCAGCAATGTTGTAGAAGTCTTACAGAAAACTTCCAGCGTCAGACTCCGTGATGTATTCCCATGTATGTTGTTGACGTGACAGATGTACTGTCCAGACACAGATCTGTCTACAGCTGGTATATACAACACAGCCTCCCTCTGTCCTGTGATCTCCCTCTGTCTGGATGTGTCCCACCAGGTCACAGTGCAGGCGGGGTGACAGTCAGCAGAACATCTCACTGTGAGAGGGTCACCTTCTACTGCATTTAGCCTGCCACTTGCACCGTTAAACTGTATCTGGTCAGGTCCATCTGAAATGTTTGATGTACTATGGTCAGTAGTTCCCCACTGTATCACCAGCTAAACGGAAAATGCTACTGCACGCGACAGCGGATCCTTCTGATCCTAAATAATGTGATGTACGCGTACAGTTTGGTTTTGTAATGTATGTGTGAATAGCGAGATAAACATGTGCAGTTTGTTTCTGTGACATGTACATGTGTGACTACTGGAAATACACATGTGACGGAGGGGCCAATATTGTACAAAGGGGAGGGGTAGGATGGGGAAGGAGGGATGAATGAGTGCAAGATTGAGTGAGTGAGTTGGGTATAACACCGCTTTTAACATTATTCCAGTTATATCACGGTGTGTCGGCTTTATGTGGTAGGAAAGCCCGAAGTGATGCAGGTCTTAGACATTTACCACTTCGGTGAAACCTACGAGCACGGATATCGTGCTGACAAACCTAGAGACATAATCGGGGCGAACCGGGATTCGAACCAACAATCAACTCTGCACAGAGAATCGCGGTGCCTTAGACGACTGGGCACTGGAAGGAGGGATGAAAAGGAGGAAACGCTCTAATTTTCACGATCAATTAAGGTCAGTGTTTATAGTTAAGGGAATACCCAAACATAAATTATTGAGGTTATACACACTTTGCATGATGATTTCAATAGTGACCTTGACCTTGACAGTCAACTCATCTTATGACAGTGTAATCAGTTTTAAATATTTAGGGTTGCTGAAGAGTATGTTGGTATAGGACGTATGTGACAGACAAAATTGGATAGTCAACATATTACAAATGGTTTCGTTGTGACATGTGCAATGACTAGATCTTATGTCATGTTTAAGACGGGTGGTGAGGTAGCCTTGTGGTTTAAGCGTTCGCTCGTCACGTCGAAGACTTGGGTTCGATTCCCACATGGGTACAATGTGTGAAGCTCATTTCTGGTGTCCCCCGCCGTGATATTGCTTGAATATTGCTAAAAGTGGCGTTAAACCATATTCACTCACTCATGTTTAATCCGGGTCCTCTGAAGTGTTGTAAAGAATATATCCAACGTTTTCTGAGGAGAGGAGATTGGCACTAATTTCAAAATGTACTGCGGCGGTGGACATTTGAATTTGTCGAACCTCCAAGTAGAAAGTGGATGTAGAATCTGGTATGTGAACATGAAATTGATATGTTCAATAAATTTGGAGTAGAATAAGTTTCAATGCTAACAGACGGACCGACCTGTGGACAAGGGACGTCGGACGAGGCCCATTTTATAATTTCACACTGACAAAAAAGGGATAGTTTAATTGGTGATTAGCAACAGTGCATATAGCGTACATATTTAATGGTATCTGCAAGGAATTCTTCCAGGTAGAATGTACTCAAGCGGAAAGTATTCTTAGACAAGGAATGCAGAAAGCACGTATCGCAGTGTAATGGGAAATATGATCCGGTGCTACCCTTCTATCATGTTCATGGTTCATAAATGACACAATCAGGAACCTGAAATATCGTTTCTTATCATTATACCACCACGTGCAAAACAAACAGATTAAAACAATATCGACATATCTGTTTTAGTGCCAAGGTAAACATTTGAAGCCAATGTTGGTCGGTAAATGACCACTACTCAGCAATGTTTGTTCAAAATGTATGGTATATGGTATATGTTTAGTTGATAGTGGGTTTCGTACGTTCCGGTTTTTCGCAATATTATAAATTTTGACCTTTGTTTTCACTTTTGTGTTTACCATGCTCATACATTCTCAAAACATGCACATTTGACTCTGTAACCTTCTCTGAAATTGCCAGACTGAGGAATATGAACTTAAGCATCCATGCGTCTTCTTATGATGTAATCATATGCCGTTCAAACTATATAGTTTAGCATTAGGTGTTGATCCCCTGTATTTACCTTGAGTGTTAAGTGTCTGTCTTTGATGATAATAATAACTCTGGACAATATATCCAGGTGAGCTACAGTGCCGTGACACTATTGTTATAGTGATCATGCATGTTCGGTATACCCTCTGACACTGTAGGCCCATGAAGCTGAAACTTTGGCTATTTTGTCTCTAATTCTAATCCGACCCGCCAACAAACTTTGAAAATAATAATTCAGGGTATGAAGACTCTTTGTACACGACACATATTACTTCAGCCAATACAGTTCTTACAAAACTGTCACTCAGGACCACAGTTGCAAAGATAAGATATACTTCGTTCTCATACCCTAAACAAGGCAAGTTCTTACTCACACTGAACCTCCAGTACATGTCCGTGACTCCAGTCAGACTCCAGCCCCTCTTCCACAGCCTGGCAGGTGTAGATGTCTCCGTGGTTCTCTCTGCTGATGTGGGTTATTGTCAGGACATCTCCGCCTGTGTGAGACCCGTCACCAGATTCCAGCAGCGTCCTGTTCCTCCTCCAGGTGTAGGTCATGTTCAGTGGGGGGTGGTCCGGGGGCAGACTCTGGGAGGAGGAGGAGCATGTCAGGGTGACATTCTCACCTGGTACCGCTGAAGCAGGTCCTGTGACGTTAGGTGTGGCCGGCCGCTCTGTTGAAAATATTAACACTTCAATATTAAACCAGTCTACCAAGACCAAATCATGATCACTGCGTCGTATTATATACTGAGTAAATGGAGTTCGAATCAAGAATGTTCTATCATTACATCACTGTAATATTCGAACCTCATCATATCTTATCATCAACTACGTGATGAGTGTCTTACACAGATCACGTCAGTTTTCCATCGCACTAACTTAACTCAATTTAAATTGTCGAGTTCAAGTTCATCTTCCTGTTCTTTTCTTCATTATGTTTTGCCTTGAAATTTAATTTGTAGTCGATGGCATGAGGTTTTGAGAAATTAAATTACATGTGATATCGATAATCCCCATGGCACATTTCCCGTGACACAACTGAGAGGCACAAGCGATAATCGTGACGTGCAGGACATGGCCTTGCGAAATATCTAAACTATCCTGAAACTTTGAAAAGTATTGTCCCGCTCTTATCCTTATACTCCTAACGGTTCTACTTACTACACAACTCTAAGGATACCAGCAACATAACGTTTTTATGATTGTTTTACGGCATTGCAGTTATACGCACATTTATTTTTTGAAACATTATGTGGTTAATTTCTTATGTACTTACGTGACACAACGAGGACCTGCCTACATCCATGTATTATCTTCTTGCCGTTTCCTTGACAGTAGTAAGTACCAGCGTCCTGTACAGTAACATTGTAGATGGTGAAACTCAGCTGTCCGGTATGTGCTTGTGAGTCCTCCCCTGTGTATCTGATCCTGGTCGTGTAGCCGGTGTGACTGCTGTTGAGTACCTCTACACGGTGTGACTTAGGTACAACCACTAACAGTCTGTCAGCTTCTGAACCATTCACCCATACGTAATATAGGTCGCTGACATTAGCTGGGTTCATGGTTATGTTAACATCGTAGCCAGCACGTGTGACAGTGTGTGGGTCGTCAGCTGTCACGGAGACCAGACCTGCATGCAAATCAAATAAACGCCATTAACACTTATATTGGTATTAGATGTTATTAAGGCTGAATGTAATATAAACACAGCTCAATATTATGCCAGGTTCTATTTGAAAAGGCAATAACGTACCACACACACATAGCCCTCCAGACACAACGTAAAACAGAAACATAGTCACCAGCGTGTTGAGTGAATATTGACAAATATAGCTTTTGATTTGGTCAGTTTCGCTCGGTAATATTTCCCTATAGAAGTGGGCCATTTCCCGTTGAACTTGAAGTTGTGGAAACATATTACTGGATATCATGAATTTCTGGATATCATGAATTTCTCGTCGTAGTTTTTGGGGACCCGGGCTAGAACAAGTTGCCCCATCACTCTGGTTTTTTTAACGTCTCAGTGACTTGACAGATTGCTGTCACCGACGGCGTTGATCGCTTGTAGTCATCATCATCATCATCATCATGATCATCATCATCATCATCATGATCATCATCATATATTTCTAAAAAAAGAACCACCCACGGTGGCACAGGAGAAAAACTTTCTTGACATGATAATCATTAATTTTCAACAAGATGCCGGTTATACTGTACAAATATTTAGCAATAAACATTTTGCTTGAAGATTTGTACGAACATTTAAACAGAAACACTTACATAAAGAAACACACATATACCGGGGCGGTTGGGTAGCCAAGTGGTTAAAGCGTTCGCTCGTCACGCCGAAGACCCGGGTTCGATTCCCGACATGGGTACAATGTGTGAAGCCCATTTCTGGTGTCGCCCGTCATGATATTGCTGGAACATTGCTAAAAGCGGCGTAAAACCATACTCACTCAATCACTCACTTATCTATTATTACATATGAATTTTGCAAGGTTCTTGATTTCTTTTAAATTTCTGGTACTCATTATTGTTTTTGTATTTTGTATTACTTTCGGAAATTGCGTATATTTATTCGAGATAAGTTTAGAGCTAGATTCACGGAACGCTTCACATTTAAACAGGTAGTGGAATTCATCGGCTATAGCTGGCGACATACGCAGTTTACATGTCCTAAATTCTCTATCTGCACCAAGCCAAAGGCCAACCTCGACAGGTAGATTATGGTTAGATAGGAGAAGAAAGTTTTCAAATGAGAGGATATCTTTAAATACTTTCAGTTACTTGTTTGCCTGGCCCAGACTTGATTGTTTACAGACAGACGTGATGTATCAGGAATGTTGCTGACTGTGGGGTATGTCAACAAAAACAAAAGTAGAGTACCACAGTCATGATTGTTTATAGCAGTGATACTCGCATTTCTTGGCCTACTTGGTGCGTGGGAACATAGGGTGTGTAGAGCTTGACCGATGGTCTCACAAAATAACGAAGCGATATACCTTTATAGCATATTGAGGTTAACAGAGAACATAAGTGTTACCTCTGGCAATCTATATTTATTATATACAGAGCTTTCAAAAGAAACACAAGAGATAAATGAATAGCGTTGAAATGTTGAGAGAATGTTCAGCTGTCTGATTAGGGTATGTTGATCGTATCACATAATCATTATAATACTTAACGGTATATAAGCCTAGTGGGGTTTTCTGACGTTGAAGGTTAAGTCAACAAACTGGGGAAACTTCAATGTGTATCAATCTGCGTAGTGCAAAGGTACGAATCTTGAAAACGGTTTACTCTTCGATTTAACACATAAATAGTCACCAAGACATCCTTAAAGAAAACCAATTTAATGTTTTTTTGTTGACATGCCTTGAATGGATGACGGAGCACGGGTGGCCCAGTCGTCTAAGGCGCCGTGATTCGCTGTGCAGAGTTGCGTCCCTTGGGCACGCCAGAAACCTATGATTGTGGGTTCGAAACCTGGTTCGCCCCGATTATGTTTCTAGGTTTGTCAGCACCATACCCGTGCTCCTTGGTTTCACCGAAGTGGTAAACGTCTGAGACCTGCATCACTTCGGCTTTCCTCCCACATTAAGCTGACACACCGCGATATAACTGGAATACTGTTAAACGCGGCATTAAACCCAACTCACTCACTTACTTACTTGAGTAGATGAATACAGAAACGCGAATGTCAGTGACAAGGTTTTTACATAAAAAATATATAATCATCATGTAAATATTTGCATGGGTGTAGACCATCGGCCCATTCAGCTTAAGATATAATGTAGCCAACTAGCAGACTTTGAATTACACGTTAACACTAGTGTTTCTTAAATGCATTGCATGAGACACAAATATTTCGAAATGTCTAACAAAAAACAATTTCACTGTTATCAACAGACATTAATATATTATATTTCTGTAAAGTGGGATGTACATAGTATTTCTTGTGAAGATAAATTTGACACAGATCCGCATAGGCCTCACAAACAAGCAAAAAGAGATTTTTCAACATATCCATAGTTGCGTACTTCACAAAGTTCTTTCTTCTCTTGTATATTTATTATATCAACCTGTTTCTTCTATGTTTATTTTATGGGATCGACATCGAAACGTATTAACTGTAATATACTTTATATAATGCGCAACATAGAAAGATGTTTTAAACAATGAATTTGAGCGAGTGTCGTAGTGAGGTATGCCAGCCTTGTTCATGTATACATTTTTTGTCGTGTCATAAACTCTGTTATAAAACTATCAATATGCTAATGCGCTCGGTTCCAAGTTTAAAAAAGAGGTATCTACTCTAGTCAATTACAAAACACAGCAGGTTTATCTACTAAATAATTCCCGTTTGGATTGCACAATAGCACCATAAAAGTACTTATTCCAAGACATATTTCTTGAGAATGTTATAATTATAAGAGGTATAAGAGGTAACACATTCAATAGGAATTTCCATCAAATACCATCCAAATTAGAGCTAGATCTAGAGGACTCCTCCAATTTTGAAAACAACAATATTACTTTTATCTAGATTAACACTCAGATTATATATTACAATACTCCTATAATGTATTAATGCATCTTTGAAGACCTGTTACAGTATCAGAAATAATGAATACCCGGATAACACGAATGTTCTCTATTGTAGGCCAATTCATTTATAACTATGGAAAACAAGATGGGATTCAATACACAGCAGCCCTGACGAAGGCCGACACTGAATTCAAACATATCCGAAAAAAGACTATCAAATTTCACACATGATTTAACTGATTCATAAATAACCTTAAGACAACCTAGCATTTTGGGGAAACTCATTTCTGCTCTGGGACGAACCATAATTTAGACTTATTAGAACCATATCGAATTCCTTAGTAAAGTCAACAAAGAAGACATTAATTTTACCCGCTTACTAAAAATAGTTAGTACTGCAATACCTCTACAGTTATTTGCAGCGTGTAAATCTCCCTTTTAATGTAATGGGACAATCAAACCAACAGACCATGTTGTAAGGAATCCACCGCTATTGAACAATCTGTTGAATATAACTGTGAGAAAGGGCAGCAAAACAAAAATGTTTGGGGAAATAATTAGGGATATATATACTTTGAAAATAAGTATACCATACCTGTAATGTAATATTAGATTTAACTGCAGGGTATACCAAAACGACTTATTATTGTATAGATCAGCCATCAATCTCTGCGTAATATTACTCATATACATGCACCTTTTATCTTTTAAAACGAGTTCTGGCTGATATATAATCCTGTAGAAAATCATCACTTCTGTATTTTCTAAACACTTTAAGAAGTCTATCACTTTCTTAGCGAAAATAATCATAATCCTTGTAAAACAATGGTTGGGATCGATGACAGTAGGAGACATCCTTCCAGCAGCTTCACAAATGGCATCAGTCAAACGCATCATTACTATTAGTCATCATTACCTCAACACTTTTTTTTCTAACAAACTAATTATATTATCTGAAAGTAAAATTTCCCGAAACGGCTAACCCTTGGTATCGTGACCCGTGAAGATCCGGGGTAGAATAGGTCTTCAGCAACCCATGCTTGCCGTAAAAGGCGACTATTCATGTCGTAAGAGAGACTCGATTATTTACAGACCGCCGTCATATAGCTGGATTATTGCTGAGTGCGGCGTAAAACAAACAACCAACCACCCTTGGTATTGTTCCAGTCAAAACGAAAATCATCATCACAATCTCGTGTAACATTATCGTAATCGTGGCGCACTGATACAGCACGTGACTGAAATGAACACCCTAACGGTAAGTGATCCGAGTCGGCACTGAACACAATAGTGTGACATTCACACTGTGTAAAAATACCACGTAAATTTATTATGTAATCCATAACAATTTTTTCCAGGTGAAAATTATATATGTAAAGCCTACGACTTCAGCATTGTCAGAGTTCTCACCTGTTCTGGCATTAAAATCGCAACTGTATATTTTTATCTTGTGCAGCTTCCTTTTATTTTTCTCGGTATTATTTTCTAAATATATTGCATAAGCCTGATATTATATATAAATGTTATACTTTCCCGACACCAAATACTCAATAGCAACCCGCCCGCAAATCTGAAGCACACAGGTTTGTGAAATACAAACATTTTCCGGAGCACTCTCACTCCCTTCCTGATTTCCCTACCTGATGGTGAGACAAACATTACGTCACTTTGATACAGTTGATGACCTCATATGCTCCAGCGACAGCTGTAGCATAGTGTAGAGAAAGGAGTTGTTCTGATAAATATTGATAATATTTACAATATGATTAATGCGTTAACCATTTTCGCCAACTTCAAAAGTACGTTGTTTTCCCCAAATTTGTGTTTGAAAACAAAAAAAACACTTATCAAGAAAAGTAATCATACGTAATGAAAAGAAGAATTCCGGGTTTGAATTCCATTTAAGAACAGGAATAGGATGGAGTATAATTAACATAAATCATGTTTGATAAATGTAAGCATGCCACAAGGTCATTTTGCTAAATTCACTTTAAACGTTTACATGTTATAGCATGCAGTTGACGATAGTCCGATGTACGTTGTTGGGATCAGGAACTCTGGTGACGCAATTGCCCCACGCGAGATCCTTTCAATTACGCGAATGCGCCATTTTGGATCATTGAGGTTGTGTGCGAGTGTGTATTGTTGGTTTTCCCGTTTTTGTAAGTATTGTTATATTATATACAATATACTGTTAAATGTTGTTTAAATCACAATGGGGTGTTTTGTTATCAGCAGGACTATCTTTGACTGATGTTGCTTCGACACTGTACGTGGCCGACATACATGCCTTATATTGTTTGGTTAAACTTGATCAATCACTTCGGGCTTTCCTCCAACATTATGCTGACAAGCCGTGATATAACTGGAATACTGTTAAAAGCGGCGTTAAACCCAACTCACTCACTCACTCACTCACAAACTTGATGCAACTGATATATTTTACATTTGGTGGAACGTTTCTAGTTTGGTGTGTCAAAATAGATAATAGAAGATTTTCACAAACAATGCATTTTTGCAGGTGTACGCTCGTCTTAGGATGATATCTAAATGGATATCGTGGATTATACTGACGCAAGTCTCCGGCTAATAAAGGGAATTCAACGTTTGCTGAGAGGTACAAATACTCCTTCATTCTAAACTTCAAGTTACTCACAGAATCCCAATCAGATTTTTAACATAGCATCTTGAAAAGGTTTACCATTTACCATCTTGATGTGCTGTATGGGGCGCGCGGATTAGCATTTCATCCGTTTAATGTACACGCAGAGTCGATGCCTGATGAGCAGACACTTCGGTTACCTTTTTAGCTGACATGCTTGTTCCCATCACTGATGACATCTTAATGTGTTCAAGATGTTCGAATCCGATTTTCGATATGGCCGCCACAGCATCTATATTGAAACCCCTATTCATGGCCAGTACTCAGTCATGTTTTGCTCACAATGTAATGAAATTCAGTACAGGTGCAGTAAAAACGGGGCTCAACATAATATATGTTCCGTTTTTCGCGATATTTTCAGTTTTCATCTTCTTTACTTCAGCAACTAGATAATTTTAACTGTCACGTTTAATCAATTTCAAGATCCCTTATATAGTGAAATTTTGATGAGAAAACATCAAGAAAAGTAGTAGTTATGTCATCTGACATATTTCTAAGTACTCTTTCATTCATCTGCTCAAATGTGTTATCGCCTTAACCAATGTCTTCATCATTAAAGTTTACCAATATCTACATCATTCACCAATATCTAAATCCTTCACCAATATCTACATCATTCACCAATATCTAAATCATTTACCAATATCTGCATCATTTACCAATATCTAAATCAGTCACCAATATCGACATCATGTACCAATATCTAAATCATTTACCAGTATCTACATGATTCGCCAATATCTAAATCATTTACCGAAATCTACATCATTCACCAATATCTAAATCATTTACCAATATCTAAATCATTCACCATCTATCTAAATCATTTACCAATATCTACATGATTTACCAATATCTAAACCATTTATCAATATCTACATCATTCACCAATATCTAATTCATTTACCAATTTCTACTTCATTCATCAATATCTACATTAATTGCCAATATCTAAACCATTCACCATAATCTACATTATTTACCAATATCTAATTCATTTACCAATATCTACATTATTCACTAATATCTAAATCTGTTACCAATATCTAAATCATTTACCAATATCTACATTATTCACTAATACCTAAATCTGTTACCAATATCTAAATCATTTACTAATATCTAAATCATTTAGCCAAATCTACATCATTTACCAATATCTAAATTATTCACCAATGTCTACATCATTCACCAATATCTGAATCATTCACCAATATCTAAATCATTCACCAATATCTACATCATTCACCAATATCTAAATCATTTACCAATATTTATATCATTTACCAATATCTAGATCAGTCACCAATATCTACATCATTCACCAATATCTAAATCAGTCACCAATAACTACATCATTTACCAATATCTAAATCATTTACCAGTATCTACATGATTCGCCAATATCTAAATCATTTACCGAAATCGACATCATTCACCAATATCTACATCATTCGCCAATATCTAAACCAATCACCAATATCTAAATCACTTAGCAAAATCTACATCATTTACCAATATCTTCATCATTTACCAATATCGACATCATTCACCAATATCTAAATCATTCATCAATATCTACATCATTAACCAATATCTTCATCATTTACCAATATCGACATCATTCAACAATATCTACATCTTTCACTAATACAGCATTCACCAATATCTACAGCATTCACCAAAAGGGCGGTCGGGTAGCCTAGTGGTTAAAGCGTTCGCTCGTCAAGCCTCAGTCCCGGATGGAGTCCCGACATGGGTACAATGTGTGAAGCCCATTTCTGGTGTCCCCCGCCGTGATATTGCTGGAATATTGCTGAAAGCGGTTGCGTCCCTTGGCCCCGCCAGAAACCTATGATTGTGGGTTCGAATCCCGGTTCGCCCCGATTATGTTTCTAGGTTCGTCAGCACCATACCCCTGCTCGTGGGTTTCACCTTCGGGGTTTCCTCCCACATTAAGCTGACACGCCACGATATAACTGGAATACTTTTAAAAGCGGCGTTAAACCCAACTCACTCACTCACTCCAATATCTAAACCATTCTTCAAAATCTACATCATTTAACAATATCTACATCATTCACCAATATCTACATCATTCACCAATATCGACATCATGTACCAATATCTAAATCATTTACCAGTATCTACATGATTCGCCAATATCTAAATCATTTACCGAAATCTACATCATTCACCAATATCTAAATCATTTACCAATATCTAAATCATTCACCATCTATCTACATCATTCACCAATATCTAAATCATTTACAAATATCTACATCATTTACCAATATCTAAATCAGTCACCAATATCTACATCATTCACCAATATCTAAATCATTTACCAGTATCTACATGATTCGCCAATATCTAAATCATTTACCAGTATCTACATTATTCGCCAATATCTAAACCATTCACCAATATCTAAATCACTTACCAAAATCTACATCATTTACCAATATCTAAATTATTCACCAATGTCTACATCATTCACCAATATCTAAATGAGTTACTAATATTTAAATCATTCACCAATATCTGAATCATTTTCCAATATCTTCATCATTCACGAATATTTACATTATTCACCAATATCTAAATCATTTACCAATATCTAAATCATTTACCAATATCTACATGATTTACCAATATCTAAACCATTTATCAATATCTACATCATTCACCAATATCTAATTCATTTACCAATTTCTACTTCATTCATCAATATCTACATTAAGTGCCAATATCTAAACCATTCTTCAAAATCTACATTATTTACCAATATCTGCATCATTTACCAATATCTAAATCTGTCACCAATATCGACATCATGTACCAATATCTAAATCATTTACTAATATCTACATTATTCACCAATATCTAAATCATTTACCAATATCTTCATCATTTACCAATATCTAAATCAGTTACCAATATCTAAATCATTCACCATCTATCTAAATCATTTACCAATATCTACATGATTTACCAATATCTAAACCATTTACCAATTTCTACTTCATTCATCAATATCTACATTAATTGCCAATATCTAAACCATTCACCATAATCTACATTATTTACCAATATCTAAATCATTTACCAATATCTACATTATTCACTAATATCTAAATCTGTTACCAATATCTAAATCATTTACCAATATCTACATTATTCACTAATACCTAAATCTGTTACCAATATCTAAATCATTTACCAATATCTAAATCATTTACCAATATTTTCATCGACAATTTTCATGTGCCTCCAAAATCAAATGCTAAAATAACAGTTTTGAATCAACATCTTTGTCATAAATCGTCTCGTTTAGTTAACGTTTCAAATATTTCTCTTGGTTCTATATGTGCAACTGGTGACAGTTTAAACTTCCATGACAGACTTTTTGAAACGTGTATGAATAAAGATTGAGTGGATGTATCTGTTTGCTCTGTCATCTGTCATGAGTTGCATAATTGAAGGGAAGTAACTCTTCCAGTAAGAAGCTGGTTTCAGTTATACGGATATTCGTTTATACGGACGAATTGTGAAATGACGCAAGTGTCCGTATAAACGAGGCAAGACTGTATTACTTTTGTGTTTCAATGCTTATGGGGAATGATTTAAATCTTGTGAGACATCAATACCAAACTATGTGAAAAGTCCTTGTAATTCATAATATTAGTGAGTTTCCTTATTCCTATTATATTGTGAATTTCAGATTGGAAGCTGATCATACTGATGTTGTTCCGGCTTACATCATACGCAGGTGTGCTATTTTTTTGTGGTTGTGTGATAGTAATTCAACACAGGTATGCGCACTGTTCTAATTGATTTTAATCAAGGAGACCATAAATTTGGGACTGTTTCAAATATGTTATAGGTTATGTGTTCAAAGTCAATCCCTCGTTGCTGAAAACAAACCACAGATACAGTTAATCACAAAATCAAACAGTCGTGTCCATTGTGATCGGTCTTTTTCGTCGATATGTATCTTCCTGATTTAAGGTCAGTTTCGTGTGTCACACACTTAATTACATGTTTTGTTTGTGTTTGTGTAATTTGCGTTGAATTGTATATGGTCTAATTCATCAGTAGTAGCGATGTACACGGTTGCTCATTTGCTCAAATACATGTAAATTAATTAATGTTCAATAATGTCACCATACAACTGGCTATTAATATAATGTAGGTGAATCTAAATTATTTCCAAATATATTAGTCGTAAAAATGCACTCCTCTCCGCCGCCGCATATTGAAAAACACGAACTGATCCATGATGCGGTAACTCGAACGAAGCGGACATAATATGTTAAAGGGACATGGCACTTCAAGTTTGAAAGTATTGAAATATAGATAGGCTTTTTCTTCGCCGATTCAAAATTTGCTCATTATGGACTAGGGTGAAGCTATCGGTAAACATCGTATTATTTACAATAAAAAAAACTACATAGTACCCCCTCGGAGAATTAAGATAAACGCACAGGTGATGATTTACTATTTAAGTTGTATTTTTTGTTCCGCTAGATATTGTTTTATATACAGAAACAAAGATTACCGTGTGTATTAAACTAAGCCAAAGAAACCTTTCGGATGTCACGTGTCTTAGTAACAATCTAATATTTTAAAATATATCCATGGTAGAGCGTTTCGGGATATTTCGACACGTGTTCGTTCCTCAACTGATCATGTAAGCTGATAGATGTCAGTTCTCATTGATCAGCAGAGATAACACACGTGGCAGATATGTTCATGATATCTACGGTGCTAAAGCACACCGAGACACCATGCCGCAGTTTAACATGAATATCCCACTCAGACACAGTACAGTATACTGACTCCGAGCCGACCAGTCCTTATTTTATCCCATAATGCCGAGCGCCAGGCAGGGTAACAACAAGTATGACGCGCCAAGGGGATCGAGCCGCAGACGCTCTATCCACGACACGACGGAATCGGTCTCTAAAGAACACAACAAGACTTCAACTTTGACCTTTCTTTGAACTTAGGCTTATGTGAAAGGTCACCTGCGAACACACCCCTCTTTGAAGCGAACGCAATATTTAAAAATAATGTATAGGTGTTCGGGTATGCTTAAATGACTATGAGCTTCTTATATTATTTGGTGACATGTTGTTACGGCTTTCCAACACGAATTGCCAAATCACAAAATTCACCCCACCTTCTGCAAAAAGTTGTATTCGTGCTTGCTGGGGAAATACGACTGATGAAAATAGACAGGTGTGAATCAACACGTGGCGGCAAGGGGTTGCCTCAAAATACAGATACAATAGTATCCATAGGTAAATTGGTGCAATGATAACAATGTATATATTAGTGACGACATAGAACTACATATGCATTTTCAATAACATTTCGAGATTGATTTACATATTGTTATAGCTTTTTTCAGTATTGTTCCTTTGGACTTCAGCGAGATTTCACTCTCAACTTGAACTTTTTTCCCTCTTGTTACTTGTCTTTTCTTTATTGATGCACTCTATCTATATTCAAACCATTGGTAGTAATAACGTTGTTGGTTAGTTATATTCAGGATTGGTATACAAACTTTTAAAAAACTGATAATTGTAGGCCAAAAATGAATATATACTGAACAACAAAAGTTCCTGTGTCACTGAATAAGATTTAATGCAAAGTTATGTTTTTTACCAAATCTGAAACAATTTCGGTTTGCAACAGATAAAAGACTCCTGTCAGTGTTCAAATGGTTTAATTTGCCGTACTGACTTCAGAAAATGCGTGATTTCATAAAAAAACAACATGAACATGCCAAAATGTCAATTTACAAATCAATAGCGTGTGTGTCCACCTCTGGTTGCGATGCAAGCAACACATCTTCGTCTCATATAATGGACCAGGCGTCGCACAAAGTCCTGTGGGATAACTCTCCATATCTGCTGGAGCATGTTTCGAAATTCCTGGAGTGTCTGTGGAACACGTGGTTGACGTCGGAGGCGCCGATCCATCTCATCCCACATGTGCTCGATTGGTGAGAGATCAGGGAGCGAGCGGGCCAGGGTATGACATTCACGTTGTTTTGTTGAAGATTTTCCTGAACAAGTCGAGTAATATGAGGCCGGGCGTTGTCATGTTGAAAAGTAATGCCTGGGCCATGACGACGCGAAAACGGTAGAACAACAAGGTCGATGATCTCGTGGCGGTAGCGCTGTCCATTGAGATTTCACTCTACCACTATCAAACGGGTCCTCTGTCTTGCTGTAATCCGACCCCATACCATAGCGCTGCCGCCGCCAAACCGATCTTCTTCCATGACACAATGATTGACGTAACGTTCACCTCGACGTCGGTACACTCGAATCCGTCCATCGCTGTGGCTGAGATGAAAACGAGACTCGTCAGGGAATAGAACTTGTCCCTACTGCATGGCCGTCCAACGTAGATGCTGTCTGCATCACTGTAGACGTGCTTGACGGTGGTTTCCTGTCAAAATGGGACGTTTGGCGGGTCTTCTTGCGACAATCCCTGCACATCTTAGGCGGCGACGTACAGTTTGTGAAGATATTCTTCGAAGGCCAGGGATGCTTCTTGCAGTCACTGTTACTGGCTGGAATAGATTTCGTAGGTGTGTTGTTCGAATTCAGTTGTCTTGTCGATTATTGGTTACGAGTGGCCTGCCACTCCGAGGATGATCTCTGACCGCATTCGTCTGTTGCCAACGTTGCCATAAACACCAAATGGTGTTTCTGTGGACGTTAAATTGTCTTGCAACATCACGTTGACTCGATCCTGCTTCAAGCATACCAATGGTTCGCAGACGCCCATTTTCGGACATGCGTGGCATTTCGTAATGTTGAATAATTGCGTAGTTTTGTTGTTTTTCTGAGTGGTTGTTGTCAGCACGATGCTAAACAATGCTTATGGAATCCCGTTAACGCAAATGTTTTTATACCCATTCTTGGGTAGTGAAATGCATGGGGCTTGCATAAAAGTCAACTTTAGCATTGAATGCATGCTTTTCTGTAGCAGTTGCGTTTTTGTGACTTGATTCCATACATGTATTACAATATTGAAAACCAAACTTTAGTTGTTTGAAAAATACACTAAAATATTGTTGTCACAGGAACTTTTGTAGTTGAGTATATTTACATTTAAACGCTAATATTTAAAGGACCAAAATGAATTAGATACGTGTGGATGTATATCTCTCCTGAGAGGATCAAATGCTTGTATTTATGACGTGATTGAAAACCTATTCAGACCGAAACGTATTAAGACTAATATTCAACAAGGAATGGGAGATTGTTGTCATCTTTCTTCAAACATCCTTTCATTACTTGCAGATTCCAGCGACCAATTAGAGACAGTGACCAAATGCCTAGGGGAGAATGCTTCATTTACCTGGGATTATGAAGTCCAGCCATTCATTGCAATCGAATGGTTTTTTGAGAATACACAAATTGCTGAGACATCTGAACCATCGTTTTCAGGGGTATGTAAACATGACTACTTCCAACATAGAATAAAGGGACACTAATCATGTACGAAACTAGAGCAGAAATATATTTTAAGATCAGTCTGTTTCCCTGGGTATTATGACGCACAAATGACGCCGATTATGCCCCGTTTTCTCCCTTTGTAATGAAAAAAGCACTCTGATTCGTAATAATTGTGTTTAATGATAGGGTCTGTCATTGGTTTTGATATTTGGCCTCTGGAAAAGCCATTTATTTTGCAATTGGTTTCTTATTACATTATGAAATTACTCATTAATAGATTTAATAATTTGTAAGACATAATTGATGAATTGGGTGTTCCTGTAATAATATCGGGGCTAAATGAGATAATAATAAAGAAGAATATAAAAATTATTTTTAATTTGGTACAATAGTCTGTATCATTTGTAAAGAGATTTGCCACACATCCATGTGTATTCTATATTTCACATGATGATGGAATTGCCATTGCCCGACGGCTAGTTACCGAATGTGTTTGTGATTATTGGTATGAAAACAGGTCAAAGTCGATAAAGATTGGTCATATATGACATGGCTGTCTATGATATGTCTGTGGTATCTTCAATGATGAGCAGCATGATCTGACCAAATGTATGAGAGAAATAGTAAATGTTGGTTCTGGGGGGCGGTCGGTAGCCTAGTGGTTAAAGCGTTGTGTTCCCCGCCGTGATATTGCTGGAATATTGCTGAAAGCGGCGTAAACCTAAATTCACTCACTCACTGTACTGCTGGACGATACAGAAATGAGTTTTAACCAAGCAAAGTGCCATATAAAGTCGGTGCCTCTGGTTTGGTACCTCCCAATCTGTTGACTGACAATGGGAGAGTACCCGGGTTTGCTACCAAGAATACAGCCCCTCTGACAATCTGTGAATGCAGAAGGCTGCAGTGTTGGGGGGGGTCTTCACATTCTCCGAAAGGTTCAGGGTGGGTTTGACGAGGCAGCGCTTCCTGGGAGAAGTCCCATTCGCTGTCTGGGCTGCGTGTAGAGGGTGGAAGGGCCCTGAATTGATGAGTTGCCATATTCACCCATTCGGGCATGTTCATAGCGCTACATAAAACATGAAAGCATAGCAAGAGGGTAAGAACAGATGGGAATTAGAAGTAGCGACGTCTGAAGAGTGTTTTTAGGACTGGTTTGAAAGAGACCAGGGAGGGATATTGTACTCAGACGGGATACCTCTCTGTGTGAAGATCAAAGAAAACCGCCTTAAAACGTCACGTCAGGTGAAACGTGAGATTGCCCAATTTAACCGAAGGGTGCGTGGCTTCTTATAAAACGATTAGGTTTCATTCGTTTCCACCTCGATTCGAACATATCGATCTTAACAAAAGAAACTGATAAAGAATATACATATTCATTCGATACTATCCCCCTAATGGAGCAGATGCCATGGCGCTCAAACTCAACAAGTTTGTAAAATATCCACCTAAAACAAATAGCGGGGCCTATATTATTTCCATTCGGTACTGCCCGTTTATGAGATAGAGAAACTATATATGCTGCTCTAAATGCGTCACTCGCTTGTATCGAAACTTTAGAACCCTCGATTCTGATCAACTGATTAGAAAGTTCATATGACACTATTCACGATATGTCTGAAATATTCAAGCTAACACATTCATAACGTCCAGATAAAGCAACAAGGCGAGTTTCGGCAATTGTAAGCTTTCATGATATCCACTTACCTATTTCTTAAATAGGTAATCGGATAATGATGATAAAACGATTTTACAATAATATCTGTCATCACATATTTCCCAATGATTGGGCTTTCCGCTCAGTAACATGCATGAGAAAATACCGTGAAATGCCTCTGTTTTCGATCCTTGCTAAGTGAGTGAGTGAGTGAGTGAGTGAGTGAGTGAGTGAGTGAGTATCATCAAAATATATTACGGTACAGTAAACTCGCCAGGAGTATTTTTGTAGTTGTAGAACTTCTAGAATGCCAATCAAACACTTAACATATATGAAATTAAAAGAAATGTTTTGGTTAGATCGAAAGTTTTAAGCAGGACACATAAAATTATTTAGCATCGTATATTTATTATGCTAGGTTACGATCTGGGAAAAAGATTTCTCATGCATATATTTCGTCATTAAACATAGTATCCAAGCCGAAAAATCGAGGCGACAATGCTGAGATATCATGTGACTTACATTACAAGATCACACGAATGATGGAAATAATTACTTTGATGTAAGTTTGACAATTTTTAGAAATAGTTTTGTTGATTTCATTTATTAGTTTTGCTCGGAACGTTTTTATGTTGCTCTTTGACATGTTTGGGGACTCACGAAGTCTTGGCTGGTGCACAGCGGTGTTAAAAGAGTTAAGTAACACACCTTGTGATTGGTGAAACTACGAATTACAACCAATCAAAACATTTTTGTTATTGACAGTGTTACAGTCACTCAAACAAGTTAAAGCAGGATAACGTTGATCTCTCAACCTTAATTCGTTTCGGATGTTAATTTGATTTTTGATGATTGTATTGATCTGCAGAACGGGAGAAGGTTATATTTTGATCAACTAAAGTTTCAGTGGACACTTGGGCTGGGGACATTTCAGAACCGTTAGTCCGACCGACATTTTACTAGTCCCGGGCGAGCGGGCAGGTGGCTATTTCGCACACTGCCTGTAACAGAGGTATTAAGTTTACCGCATGAATTTAATAAGTCTGCAATGAACCAGCTTCAGGTCAACCTCTTAATAATAGATACTGGGCCAAGCAAACCAGTGACGGATGGCATGGGAATCGTTCCACGCCGTTGTAGACACAACTACACAAAATCAGCCAGGTCACACATGGTAACTCGCCGAGCCTCATTCTTTTACTCTCAGATGTGTGAATCATGTACAGACTCAGAATCAAAACTTACATCACTCACTCCTCTCATACATCTGGCCTTCATTGTGAATCCATCCCTTTATTGAATGAGTTATTTGAGCTTGTTGTCTCTAAATACCTTTAGTCGTTCCTTTTACAGGATGTACTCCATATCAACGAAAAGTACAATCATCGTTTCGTCCTGCAAAGTCCCGGCAATGTTGGATTTAACATAACACATGTGACGAAGAATGACGAAGGCGATTACAGATGCGTCTTGACCTTGAAAAGCACTGCTATCCCGAAGGCGTTGAAAAAGAAGTTACGAGTTGAAGGTAAATTTTATATTCAGCAATACTAGTTTTGCGAATTGATTAATGGATTTCTATCAAACAATGCATCTTGAAGATATGAAGTATAAAGTGACCAGGACAAATCATCGATGAAAACATATCATCAATACATTAAAATGTGTACAGAACAATCACACATTATCACAGTAACTACCGTTTAGAACCTGCAAACAGTGGCACACCACTCAGTTTAAAACGCTTTATAGTTCAATGTTTGGACTAAAGATTGCCAAGGGGTAACCAGTGCCCAGAACAATTTAAAATATTTCTGAAAGAGACATAGATTCCCACACTCTAAGACAAGCGAAACAAACACAAGGGAGGAATGACAGTTATATCAAGTGTTTCTCGTCAGTTAAAACGTTACAGTCAGTTCTGTAACTGGCATTTAAGAATTTAAGTAACGTGTATTTATTGACGTTCTTCAGCTAATGAAGAAGGTGGATCACGCGAGCAAATACTATGATGCGCAAATTCCATATTGGCAATGAAAAACACCAAAACGCGATTAAACACCAAGCATCATAACCTGTGCATACTGCGGACAGTTACGTTGTCCCTAACGTTAGATCGTGAGTGACCTCCCTTAGCCTAACACGTAATATATATCTTGAAATGTAAGTTGCATCCTGTAAAGATAGACAGAAATCAAGATGCCTGGAGGTAAGTGAACGTTCTCTGAATTTCGGGTGGGAGTTTGATCCCAACTAATGCAAGATGAGATGTTACTAGCGGGGATTGTTGCCAGAGGCAATGAAGGACAATCTAGAACTGAGATTGGTTGTGGTAAGTGGAGCAGTCTCTGTTGTAACTACGAATAGATGGTTAATTTCAGTGCACCGCGTATATACATTATCTGGCCCGCCACGAATCCATCATCATTCATTGTCTGAATAGAGGTAGCTCTTTAATAGTAGACTGCAGACTTTGACACTTTAAATTGAAACTAATTTTCCCTACAATTTGCTGTTGCACCTCATTTCAGCATTATCTAGCGTCACACGTACAATTCTGATGGATAGTTCGTGGATGCCATTTATTTGAGAAAAAAAGACAACTCAATCTTCGGTTGAATATTTGTAATCTAAAGAAAGACCATTCCTATTTCTGTATCTCTCTGCTCACCTAATCAGCATTATGTGACATACTGGCGTTCGTCGGAAATAGACGACAGTGACAGTAAGAGTGTTCATCTAAGGGAAGTAACCCGCAACTTTCAATATCAAATGCGAGCAAAGTTTTGTTTACTTGTTCAAGTACTACCATTGAGCTGTTCCTACTTTTGGGAATACTATCTTTTTCGCTTTCCGAGTGAACTTTGCCATGGCGCATTGTCATCTGTTGTTTGTCGTCTGTCCGTCGGATACCTTCCGCTCTGAAATCGTTGACGGGAAAAGCCTTAAACTTCGGGAGAATGTGTAGCATCATAATCTAAATGAGATTTGTGAACTATAACTATAACTATAACTATATATATATAACTATATATAACATAAAATGCTTCATTTATCCGGAAATCGGATTTCTGGATCCGGAGAGTGAATTTTAATTTTCAACAATGCAAAATAAACACTAGTGTGTCCCACTTACAGAGCAGCGACCAAGCTTGACGATATTTGTTTTGCAATTCATCAATTGACATCCAACATCAGAGGGGCGGGTATCATGTGATCGCAGTGTTAATTAATCCTGTAATTGCTTATACTGGTTATAAAAACGTATTCAAACGTGTGGACTTATGTTTGTAATCTATTTAACTTTTATTAAAAATTTCATTCAATATTGATTGCATTAATTTCGGTGGAATCGTGATTGATCACACCAACTCACCGTTATTTACACCAACCGCGATCAGATTATCACTGATGACGCATTGCTGACGCAAGGTAACTAAAGGTACTATCATTAATCAAGGGGATGTTATGCATCTTCCCTGGAATACAAAGTACATATTTGTTAATTTGCCGTCAAATATCAGGACCAGTGTCATTGACAAGTTTATGAGTGTATGTCATAACATCGGAGTTGCACGTAACTTTTAAGAAGGTGTTTTCCATCTTCCCGAGGCAAGAGAGTTAACTGACTATAAAAGTTGAGTTTCCACCCTTGCCGAACTTGGCTGGTATTATGGAGTTACATTTTGGCTGGACTAACGAGTCTATGCATAGTCCAATCAAAATCGCGCACCGAAATCGAAATCAGGTTCGTAAACTGATTTCGGTCGATTGCAGGATTTGCAAAGCATTTGCATCGCCAACTCGTTGTCAGCAGATATTTTCCAAATCTTTTCATGTTTTTAATCAAGGTGCTCACGTGATTTGATGAATTTCGCTATGTAAGACCCGTTTTATCACAATATAGATCTTGTCTATCGATCAGATCGTCTCGACTCGGCACCACCATTTTGTGTGAAGCAAACGCAAGTGATACGAGAGGTGGAATCTGATTGGTCCATAGGAGAGGCTTAGAAGGGACGTGACTGGTAATAGCCACTGGTGGCGCTACGATCGAGCCCAGTAATTCCAGCTTAGTTCGGCAAGGGTGGAAACTGGACTTTTATAGTCAGTTAACTCTCTTGCCCCAGGAAGATGGTGTTTTCTGGCGTAAGTAGGTCTGCTTCAGTTGATGTTTTTTCCCGAGAAGAAGAAATGTTTCTCTTGTAGCTGTCGTCGTTGATTTCCGCCCTTTCTTCAATACATAGCATTATGAATGGGAATTCATAAACACAACACTTGAGTCCCTTTCTGGTTCTCTCATTCCTGTAATACTCAAAACACAAATTACCCAATTTAAGGTATTTCGATCAAATACATTCTTAACGATAACACATCCTTCGTGTGAATTTCTGCATTGTAAATTTCCAGTTAACACTCAAATTCGTGCTAAAACGATTTAAACCAAATATGTCTAACACCATAATAAGACTCATTGCGTGGAAATAACAATCATATAAACCTCTAAACCAATGCCTCTGAAACGTGGTGTGCATGTCCAAGCGAATGCTGACACTTGAATGTGTACATTACAGTCCGATTTGAGTATATCACAGCCGCAATGATCAAGCATGGTATATATCCTTAAAGATGTATACCTTACAAGCCCTTTGTTTTCACCTTTTCGCGAACAAGTGGTATCATCGATATTTGATACTGATTCATTCACAAATGCTCACGATACAGTCGGAATCGTACAATCTGTATTTTAAGCAGAGATTTTTTTGTTGCTTTTCTCCTTTATTTAGCTTCAAGGTATGTCATAAAATGTGCATGATTCCTGATGAACGATTATTGCCAGATACGACAGCATTACAGCAGGTGAGATATGGTCCTGCATATTTTGCTTTTAGATATTAGGATGCTGTTTCATACGTGATCTACGGCACTACGTCAGAAAGTCAAAAGTCATGAGCTTTATGTTTGTTATGCAAATTTCACTAATATCAGTGGGTCGTATTCAAGAGTAATGATTTGTGTATTCCTTATTTCAACGCATAATAAAATAATACCTAAATCTAGTCATATTTTGAGAAATGCCATGTTTCATATTCGTTTTTCAGATTGTCCAGGACATAATACGTCGCCGAGAAGCACCACAACAGGTACGTGGTTGCATCTATAAGTGAGTGAATGTTGTTTAATGCCGTCTTCAACGAACAGTTCTAAACATTCATCATCATTTGTTGTCGAATTTGTTTCCTTCACACATTTAGGGCACGCCTATCTCAGTAGTTCATTGTGGAGAGTTACGTCCCTTAGACATGAGAAAATCCTATGATCGAGAGTTTGAATCTTACATTGACCATGATTACGATACATGGTTTGGATGCGACCACCATAACAGTGCTCGTGGTTTTCACTCACCCACCTCTACCACACACTACAATCGATGGCAATTAGTGTTCGTCATGTTGTATTTTTGTCTTACGTCATTGTAACGAATGATGACGTATTTTAAATACTAGTAATGTGACATGGTGACATTTACTGATTTCCTTCTTGTTTCAGTCGGAAGTACGACGCCACTCACTCCTACTCCTCCAGGTTTGCTTTTCTGTATATCTGTGTTTGAAGTATGCGCGCGTGTGTGTATGCATGTGCTGAGGCGGGGGATGATATTCTCTAGGGTAGATTATAAACAATAATACACATATTTGAGGAGGGTCATGAATAAATGTCCATTCAATAGTAACATTTAAGATAATGGTGTTAATGGAGTGTTTAAGTAAGCAAGAAGAACACTTTAAATACAAGTCTAGAAAAGAAACGGATCCTGAGAACCAAACTGGAATTGCAGTAATTGCAGTCTTTTCCTGATATTGAAGACTTTCAGATGTGTGTCAAGTTTGATTCATAACATTTCAAACTCGTTTGAATAGCGGTCAAAGTGGAACCGCACTTTTATATTACTTCCTTACATGGAACTAATCCAAACACCTTTGTTTTATCAGAGTTAGTGTTTAGCCCTGATAATTTATGGAAAGTAATTAGAGTGTCCATAGAGGACCTGAGACTCTTCTGTGCTGTTCAAGAACAGTTGTATGTCATCTGCATATTTGCCCTTATTTATATTCTTCAATTTTTAGTTCTATCCATTTAATGTGTTTATTGCTTCTTACCATAAACCCCAAGTATTTCAGAATGAGTGAGTGAGTTTGGTATCACGCCGCTTTTAACAGTATTTCAGTTATATCACGTCGTGTCAGCTTAATGTGGGAGAAAAGCCCGAAGTGATGCAGGTCTCAGACGTTTACCACTTCGGTGAAACCAACGAGCACGGGTATGGTGGTGACAAGCCTAGAAACATAATCGGGGCGAACCGGGATTCGAACCCACAATCATAAGTTTCTGGCGTGCCCAAGGGACACAACTCTGCACAGCGAATCGCGGCGCCTTAGACGACTGGGCCACCCGTGCCCCATTATTTCAGGATGAAAAGATAGGGCGATGTTGGGTCACCCTTTCTACTGCTGTTTGTGTTGGAAA